TAATTATTACGAAAGCACAAAACATCAGAGATAAACTAGTACTAGGTAAAAAAAAGTTGAGCAAATATCCTCATACAAATACCTTGGAGCATAAATCATAGAAGATACAGCTTAAACACAAGAAATTAGATGTCACATAGAAGTTGCGCGGAGCTAGAAAAAACATCTGGTACAAGGACTCCTACAGACAAACAAAACTTTGTAGTGGAACAGTGAGATGCAACAGAAGGTTAGAGACAAGAAAAAGGCTAGAAGGAGGTATAACAGGTCGAAAATAGAGAAAAATTAGGATATACACAAGGTAGCAACAAAGAGGGAAATAAAATGCGTCGTATTTGCTGCTAAGGAACGATCGTCGGTACAGCTATATGAAGAGTTGGAAACAAACGAGGGGATGAAAAGAATATGCAGCATTGCTAAAGCAAGAAACAAATAATCAAAGGACTTGACCCACGTGCGGAAGATTAAGAGTGCGGATGGAAGAGTGTTAAATGAAGAACACCAGAGGAGAGACAGAGAACGCATGATCTTAAATGAGAATGTAATACAGGGGATAGCGAGAGATGAGGTTGTTAAGTCGTTAAATAGGATAAAGGCAGTATTACCTGTGGAGATTTGGAAGGCTCTTGGAGAGAAAGGGATTTATATTTTGTGGCAAATGATGAGTAGGATATATGAGGAAGAAAGGACACCTAATGCATGGAGAGAAAGTGTGATTGTATCATTGTATAAAGATTAAGGAAACATTCAGGACTGTAAGACCTATAGAGGGACAAAGTTAATGTCACACACAATGAAAATTTGGGAGAGAACCGTATAGCGAAGGTTAACGAGAGAGACATGGATAGGAAAAGAAGAGTTTAAGTTAACGTCAGAGCAGAGAACAACAGATGCCTTGTTTGTTTTGAAGCGGTTGGTAGAGAAATACAGCAAGAAGAAAATAGAGCTACATTTAGTATTTATAGATTTTGAGAAGGCGTAATACGTAGTTCCTAGACAAGAACTATGGAAATGTATGAGAGAGAAATGGGTTCCTAAGAAGTACGTCAGGCTCATGAACGATATGTATGAGGAAGCGTGCACCAAATTAAGCACTGGTGTCAGATTTACCGAAAGTTTTCTAGTGACGGTTGGTTTACATCAAGGCTCTTCACTAGGTAGGAGAAGGGCTATTAAACAGGAAAGATTTAAGATAAGCAGGTTAAAAATGGAGGATATGAGGTTCAGATAGAGAAAAATGCTTGGAGACAAACAATTGCTTGGAGAAAACTAGGAAGAATGGGAAAATTTAAATACCCTGCTTCTACGTAACGAAAAATTGACCCTACTTTGCATAATGCTACAAATAAAAATGCTACGATGTTATAAACTGTCCACTCCTTTATATGGAGTTGAGATTTGGACTAAGAAAGGAACAATAAAATCTTAAAAGTATTCAATATATGGTACTCCGCATAAGTAGAACATACAAGTTATTGAACAACTAGGAAAACAATGAGGAGATTTAAATTTAATAAAAATCAGGAAGTTGGTATACTTGGAACACATTATGAGAGGTAAAAAATACGAATTATTAAGGAATATAACCTAGGGTAAAATGAAAATCAAAAGAAGAGTGGGAGGACTTTAAATTTCATGGCTATAAAATTTCTTGGTTTCTCTATAGTTCAAGTGAACTATAGAGAAACCATTCCGTGAATGGCTTCTCTATAGTTCACTTGAACTTTTCAAGCACCTAACAAACAAAATTATTATTGCAGAATGATTTTCAATCTCCGATAGGAGCAGAACTTGAACAAGAAGAAGAATTCGCCAGTATTCCCAAAACACAGAAATAGATATTTAAATAAAAAAAGGCACAAAGACATTTTCTGATACTTTTAACTTTGCCTATACTCTTACAGTTTAATAAAATTAAATTCTTAAAGTTGATAAGTTGATTAGATATTAGATTGATGTTAGTAGATATGAAAGTAATTATATAATATAAGTTTTTGCAAACTATAAACTAATAGTTTTGCAACATTATTTAATTAATATTTACTAACATTATTTTATTATAAACCAATAAAAAATCTTGTTGCTTTTACTTTTTATTGCAGGAAGAAATAAATATACTGTAGAACGGATTTTATATAGATATCGCTTGACGCTCAGGAGAGCAGCAAAAAATGGATTCAGATCTTTGAAATGTACGACAAATGGGTGTGTCTTATTTTGACGATTATTGGTTCTTATGGTAAGTCTGGTAGGTACTTCATTCAAGTATTCGGTAGACAAAGAAAAGCAACAGCCCTGGTCACCAAAATAATAAACGAGGAAGTTCTTCAAACAGTTTAAAAACAAAGAAAGTTAATTAATTACTATTAAACTGGGAATAAGCCACAATTAAAGATAAAAATACGTTTATTGACGTTTCAATTTCCACTTCGGAAATCGTTCTCAAAATACAAACAGTAAATTAAACAAATTTTGTTTTTTGTTACATAGTGAAAAATTCTTCTAATAATTTAATTTTATCTGACTCATTTATATTGACAATTCAGACATACATTATGCATTTTAAAGTAGACGACTTTAAAATGATTTTGCCAATATTGTTGAGTTGCGCTCCTGGGACGACTTTACTTATAAGATAGTTCATTCGATTACATGAAATCAACTTTAACTTGAGAATATCCGTCAGAAAAAAATCATAACATGTAATTCGTCTTTAAAAAGACAAACACATGACATGATGACAGTCAAATTCTCCTGTTAGTGATTCCATAGTAAATTATGAGGGAAAACCAGGAAAAAACCTCATAATACTATCCCGACATTGTAAATATTTGTTCGTGAATTTAGTTTACCTTCAACAAACATCAAAATTCTGATTTTATATGTTACGTTATTTAAAAAACATAAATGATGTATCCTCTATATGTTACTGATTTACTAATACTGGTATTTTCTTATTAATAACTTCCTCTTTCAATATTGGTAACCAGATCCTACTACATTCTACATAAGGACAAAGAATTGCATTTATAAAATACCTTGTGAATGCGATCAGTTTTATTTAGGTGAATCATCAAGGCCATTAAATGTTAGAATAAGTGAACATCAATCTTATATTAAAAATAAAGAATTTGATAGATCTCAAATCTGTAAACACGCATGGGATAATGAACATAGGGTTCAATGGAATAATTTGACTGTCATCATGTCATGTGTTTGTCTTTTTAAAGACGAATTACATGTTATGATTTTTTTCTGACGGATATTCTCAAGTTAAAGTTGATTTCATGTAATCGAATAAACTATCTTATAAGTAAAGTCGTCCCAGGAGCGCAACTCAACAATATTGGCAATATCATTTTAAAGTCCTCTACTTTAAAATGCATAATGTATGTCTGAATTGTCAATATAAATGAGTCAGATAAAATTAAATTATTAGAAGAATTTTTCACTATGTAACAAAAAACAAAATTTGTTTAATTTACTGTTTGTATTTTGAGAACGATTTCCGAAGTGGAAATTGAAACGTCAATAAACGTATTTTTATCTTTAATTGTGGCTTATTCCCAGTTTAATAGTAATTAATTTACAATGCCACAAGAAAATAGCTTCAGAACAATATAAAAAAAGTTAAATTGTACCAAATACTCAAAAGATCCAGTGGAACCTCTGTTTGTGAAATATGGATCCTGTTGAAGAAAGACGAAGATGCCTTGAAAAGTTTTAAAAAAAAGATTTTTGGGCCTATCTGAGAGAAGTATGGGGGCTATAGAATCTGCATTAACCTTGAGCTTGACACGTTAGTTATACACGCCGATATAGTAAAGTTAATTAAATTTCATAAAATTCATTGACTTGGGCAGTTGCTCCGAATCAGCAATAAAAGGAATAAAAAAATATCACTGAATGGAGAGTGGTTGAAAATAAACCACGACCCTAGACCTTAGAAACCGTTAGTTAGAGAGTGTCGACAATGAAAGAATAATTAGGATCCATATGGAAAGGTTAACTTTCCAACGCAGTCTTTTTCAAAATGTAACCCCAGGAATTTTGTAGAATCTACAACAGGGACCAGATGTTATCTGTTTTAAGGGGAAGATATCGCTTCCTTTAGTAGGTGAAATTGATATGCACTGATTTTGTACCAAAATATTAATTTTCCATTTTGCTGTCCAATATTTGATTTTATTCACTAAGATCTACAGTTTTCCTGCAGCTTCTTCATGGTCTTTTCCAACTGATACGATACCCTGATGATCAGCGAAAGTGTCTCTATCTTCTTTGAGGCCATGATATCATTAGTGTATAATAGGTAGAGTAGCGGTCCCAGTACACTACCTTGCTTTACATTCTTTTAGGTCAGAATCATTAGTCAGAAGGTCTCCTCCTCCTGGACTTTAAAGAATTGTTTAAAATGTAAGATTCCAGTGCATTGTTTTGGTAGTACTCTTTTCAGTTTGTGAATGAGTGCACATAACATTTTTATGCACGAACTGTTAGTTGATAAGGAGCAAAATCGGCAAATTATAGATACATTGTACCACCACCTGTCTCTCTTCTTTCCTTAGCGCTATAACCCTTGCTATTTATATTCTAGAATTTTTTGGTAATCTGAAAGAAAGAAAGAAATAATAATTCAGGAAACTGAGTAAACTGACTAAACATTGTTAGAACTTTTCTGTGTGAATATGGCACTACAATCAAAAGAAAAGTTATCATGTTGTTAAATTCGTAATACGAATACATACTTTATATTAATTAAGCAGTGAAGTTGGTTGAACTAAATTGTTAACTGCGAAAATGAAATCACCCTGTAAAAAATCCCAATTTTAACTAACAAACGTCAGTTTCCGGCAAATTTTCAACTTCCACATCCCTTTCCTGTCAAGTTACAATAAACCAAAGCACCCTCTATCGACAAACAAACAACAAAAACAAAACAAACGGAGAACCCATACAACAAACTCTATCACATGGCCTACTGCACAAGCCGGCTATAAAACAAAGTGCAGCGCGATGCGCTATCAGTCGACAGTCAGCTGTTACGGTTGCTCGATCGCTAGAGCTTTGAAATCCGGTGCCGCTTTCATTTGTTTCTTTCGTTGACGCGATTTTCTATAAGTTTTTTTCGACTTTTCATAGTACAACATGGCCACCTACGCTACATACAGACACATCGAACTCGACAAAGTTGGATATGGAAAGAAAAGGTGAGTTTTTGTGTGTTTTAAACATTGTGACGTCACGTTTAACGATCGGTCTCCAGAAGGGATGTTCACCCCCTTCTCGCGAGCTTGCTCCAGTTTTTGGTGCATTGTGACAAATCCTTACATACCTATATGTAACAGTATGGACTTATGTCATAAAAATGATTATTAACTATGATTAATATAACTTTTAGATAATAATATAAATTCACTTAAGGGAATTTATAGATTTTCTGTAGCAAAATCCCAGACGAAATGCCAAAGGTGTTGCAGCAGTGATAAGACTTGGTATAGGTCAAGTTTCTGAATAAAATACTCATTATTAGTAGCATTTACTTATTGATTTTTGTTTGGAGATGTTTTTATAACTTAACCTAGTACTTTTTTATGAAAACTAATGTGTAGGTATATACTTTAATTAAATACTTTCCATGTAGTCTAGGCGGTATCTGTTTTGGATTGGACATTTTCCATAGGAAGCTATTTTTTGCTGGAATCCCTTCAGGATGTTCCCAGTATCGATAATCACGATATGCGCCAGTCGCAAACCCTGTGCTAAATTTTTTATTTAACAAAATCTGAAAACAATTGAAAATTTCTCATTTTTTTTTCTCCTATTTTCGTTTATAATTCGGAAAATATTGATCCTAGAGAAAAAATTATAAGAAGTTAAAGTTTCCTTATTCAATTTTACACAATATTTCTTTAGTTCAAATTATTGTTGAAAAAATAGCAATAATCGGAAAAAAAGTACAAAAAAATGCTATTTAAATGTTTAAATGTAAGTTAATCCTTTAAATGTTTTCGACTTTCTAAACTTGACTTACAAGCTCCATATTCCGCCTAGGAAAACTTTTTTAATATGTTTAAAACGTGTGCTAAATTTTGTTGAGATCGGTCGGATAGGTTGTGCATAATAATTTTACAATGAAAAAATAGCTTCCTATGGAAAATGTCCATTATGGTTTGAATTTCTACAGATCCCACCTAGTCTAATAATATGTAGATATTTTGCCTCCTATATATTCAATTTTCGATTTTTTTATAAATATCGTAAAAAGTTACTTTTGAAAATGATCAATCCCCCACAGTGGGCATATGAAAAAAATACTTCCAAGAATTCATTTTCTCATATAAAAATTCTCACGTTCTTCTTAATTAACACAAGGGTCTTGCCAAAATTAATAAAGGTTAATGGAAGTGGAAAAGCTGAAAATGTGACTTAAATTTTTCAATTTTACAAACTTTTACGTTTTTTTTAAAATATAAAAATCTTTAAGCTCAAAGTACGATACTTCAGAAAATTTTGTATCAAAATCCTGTTTAGAAATATTAATTTGACTCAATTAACGTTTTTTAATTTAAAATATTAGAATCTAAATTTACCAAAAATGAGGAATTATATAAAAATTCAATACTTTCAAGGATTGATTTTCTCATAAAAAAATTCTCACGTTCTTCTTAATTAACACAAGGGTTTTGCCAAAATTAATAAAGGTCAATGGAAGTGGAAAAGCTGAAAATGTGACTGAAATTTTTCAATTTTACAAACTTTTACGTTTTTTTAAAAATATAAAAATCTTTAAGCTCAAAATACGATACTTCAGAAAATTTTGTATCAAAATCCTATTTAGAAATATTAATTTGACTCAATTAACGTTTTTTAATTTAAAATATTAGAATCTAAATTTACCAAAAATGACGAATTGTATAAAAATTCAATACTTTCAAGGATTGATTTTCTCATAAAAAAATTCTCACGTTCTTCTTAATTAACACAAGGGTCTTGCCAAAATTGAAAAGGGTTAGCAATGGTAGTGGGAAAGCTGAAAATGTGACCAAATTACTGTGGATAAAAAGTAATTGAGTTTAAAGACAATTAGAAATTCGTAAAATTTCTGTTAAAGTATGTACTTTGAGATGAATTCATATTAACGATTATTAAAATTCTGCTAGTAATCACCCTAGACACAAACGACTAAAATTTTTCGATTTTACAAAATTTTTACGATTTTTTTAAAATATAAAAATCTTTAAGCTCAAAATACAATACTTCAGAAAATTTTATATCAAAATCCTATTTAGAAATATTAATTTAACAAAAACAACGAATAATGTAAAAATTCTCGAATTTTTAGTGCCTATAATTTACTATTTAAAGTAATTTTTAAACCAAAAATTTAGATTATTTAAGAAATTAAAAAAAAATATTGTAACATATTAATTTATTTTTAGTATTTATGTAACCTTTTGTTATTTAACCAGGAACTTTAATAATGAGAAAAATATTTTCAAATTGTTTTAAATATGTTTTAGCAATAATTCGGTGTAATTAAAACAAAATTGAAAAAAATAAATTGTTTTATATGGAAAAGCTACAGTAGGAATATTTTTTTTTATTTTTTGTTAAATTAATTTTATGAAGGCCAAAGTGGATTTTTTTTGTTAAATACGATTACATAAACATTGTTCAAGGCGGAAAATTTTAAAACAATACCTGTTTCAATATTTAATTTTATTGATTTTTCTACTAGTTCGAAAATGCACCACTCACTAAATAAAGTAACGATTTGTACAGTGTGTTTGGGACTTTTAAAATTTGTATAATAAAAAGAGATTTTTTGGTCAGTCTTGCAACGGTGTATAGTTGCAAGCGGTAAGACAAATGGACTCGTCCGAGTTGCAATGTACAAGGGGAGTCCGGAAGTAGAAAGAGACTTATAATAAAAATGGCGGATGTAATGTAACGTAATGTAGACGTATTTTGTTGTTGGTAAATAAAAAGTTGGGAAATCATTTGGGATTTCATTTTATTGGCAAAGAAAACCAATATATAGGGAAAGTTGGTCCTTATATAGTGTTCATGTGGTCCTAGGAGCTGGATTAGTGCAAATACAACACATTCATCGATTAAATTATCGAGCCGGCGTGGTTGGTGGTTTTGGCGCGCTGTTTGGTTTATATGGACATTTTGGTTCGAGACGTTGAAAATTGGAGTGTTTGGTGAGTTTGTTCCTTTTTAAACATACCTATTCCTATTTAATATCTAGAACTTTTTAATTTGTGTTATGAAGAGTACTTAATAAACAGTATTTACTTTGTATGTATTTGTTTCATGATTATTGGCATGTTTGGAATTCATAATTTTCATTTTATTGGTAATATTTAATGTATTCATTGGGTTAAATATTAATGTTAATTATTATTGGCGTACGTGGCTTTCATATGACTTTGAATATATAAGGATTTAAAGCTATTTACTTGTGTTTTAGGGGTTAATAATTATTATTGACAGTATTAGCATTTGTCATTTTCATATTGTTGGCATTATTTAAGTTATTTAATTGGAACTGTTGGGTTCAATATTCGCATTGGTTAATATTTCTATTTAATAATCATGGCGGAAGGTCGTGAAAAAGAGTTAAATAGGTCACGTGGCACGATTAAGGGCCAATTAACAACATTTGAGACTTTTTTGAATAAATGTAGACTGGATAATAATCTTTTAATTGAATTGGAAAGTCGGTTAGAACGGGCAGTAGGATTATTAGATAAATTTGAAGAAGTTCAAAATGAGATAGATAATATGGCCTCAGATGAGGAATTTATAAGGAATTCTTCTGTTGAAAGAGACAAGTTTGAAAATTCTTTTTATAGAGTAATTTCAGTAGCAAAAAATATGTTACAAGAAAGTCAAAGTCATTTGGTAGATATGGGAGGATCTCAGGTTGCCTCTAGTTCTAGTAATCATAGCAATAATGGGGGATTAGCTCTTCAAGCAAAACCAAGGCTACCGGCTATCCCTATTCCCACGTTTAATGGGAATATAGATATGTGGATCGAGTTTAAAGAAACGTACGAGTCATTGGTACATAATAATGGTGCAATTTCAAGTATTGAAAAGTTTCATTTTTTAAAACGAGCATTACAGGGGGATCCTGAAAAAATGGTAAAAATGCGTAAAATGACCGCGGAAAATTATGACGTTGTTTGGCAACTATTATGTGATCGGTATGATGATAAACCTTTGTTAGTTGGGTTTCATATAGATTCATTATTAGTATTTCGGTCATTATCAAAAGAATCTGCGACAGATTTACGGGATATGTTAGATACAATAATTGAAAGTTTGTTTGCATTGGAAAAACTTAATGTTGAGTCAAATTCATGGGATCCGTTCTTGGTACATTTAATGTCAAAAAAGTTAGATCAATTTTCATTCAGTAAATGGGAAGAAATTAGACCTAAAAAAGAATTAGCAACTCTTGATCAATTTAAAGATTTTTTAAGAAATAGAATAGATAGCCTAAAAAACATTGAGAGGATGAAAAAAGAGAAGAACATAATTGATAGTAAGGGGAAACATTTTCAACCTAATTGGAAAAATAAAGTAAATAAAACATTAGTTGCAGTAGAAACAACTTCTTCTTGCTTCTATTGTAAAGAGAAACATTTCATTTATAACTGTACAAGTTTTTTAAAATTAAACACTTACAGTAGATATAAGCAAGCACAAAAATTGGGCTTATGTTTAAACTGTTTGCAAAAAACCAATCATGTAAGTAAAAATTGTCAATCTGGAAGCTGCAGGAAATGTGGGCGGAAACATAACACACTTCTGCATTACGCTGGTGGAGGGGCAGATAATGATGTCACTGGAGTAGGTTATCAGGAAGATATTGGTCAGCTTTCTGCGATACAGGTCTGCGAAGAAGGTGCCACTGCCTCTGTTAACAATGGTATTCAATCATTAGCTGGACCATCAAATGGAATGTCATTCAGTGTGAATTCTGTCTGGTTAGAAAATGGAACTGCAGCTCCTGGAGAGGTATTGTTATCAACTGCATTAGTACAAATAATTGATGGAAAGGGGAAAGCTCGTACATGCAGAGCACTTTTAGATTCTGGGTCTCAACCCAATTTAATAAGCGAAGAAGTAGTAAAGCGGTTAAACTTACCGAGGAAGTCAGTAGAACTTACTTTAGCAGGAGTTGGAAGCAAGG